TAGAGACAGGATGACTATGCTCTGCTTGTCATTCTAGAAGAAGAGGAGGGGGAGGGAGAGGCAGGGCTGGGGGAGAAGGGGGGACCAGCCCTGTGCTGTAAGCTCTCTGCTGTGGTCTGAGTTGTAACCCCTCCTCTGCTGTGATCGTACTCTGGACACTCTGTGAACTTCACCTCAAATGCTATTTCTACATGACTCACACCACTCAGACGGCCCAGGATATGGTCCAGGTCAAATGGTGATATCCCAGAGTCAAATAAACACTGATAGTGTTTGTACTTTTGAGAGGAGAGATACGGAGACTTTTAAAGCAAATCATGATGTTGAAATCTATCTTCGGGCTGCTGCTGGTGTGTAAAGTGACAGCATTCAGGAAAGGTTGTGGTGGTGGTTTGCTCTTATAGAAATCATCCATTCATTCCACAAGAACGTGTGAGCATCGTGTAGGTCCTGGGCTCCATGCCAGGGACACAGGCATCCATGGGCCAGCTTCATTCCCAACAACCAGTTTAGAGCAACAGACAGGCTCACACACAAATGATGACACTGCCAGGAAGGGTAACTGACCATGTGCACACTCACTTGCAACCAAGTACATGCCTGTTTTACACACGCACACCCATGTGTATGCTATGAAGGCCATAAAGAAAGAAGGGATGTAGCGGTTTAATGAGATGTCCCTCATAGTCGCAGGCGTTTGGACACTTGATCCTCAGCTGGTGACACTATTGGGGAGGGTTTAGATGGCTCACCCTTCCTGGAGGAGCTATGCCACTGGGGTCAGACTTTGAGATTAAAGCCTCGTGTCATCTCTCTCTCTCTCTCTCTCTCTCTCTCTCTCTCTCTCTCTCTCTCTCTCTCTCTCTCTCTCTCTCTCTCTCTCTCTCCCTCCCCTGCTGCATTTGAAGATGTGAACCCTCAGCTTCTGCTCCTGTTGCCATGCCTTTCTCCCATGATGGACTCTTATCCCTCTAGAACCGTAATCTAAAATAAACTCTTGCTTCTGTAAGTTACCTTGGGCATGGTGCTTTAACACAGCAACAAAAAAAAAGTAACTAACACGGAGGAGGTTTGCGAATTTCAAGAAAAACCTAGTCTATCTAAGGACACGGAAGGCATAACTAAGCTAGAAAACACGCCCATCTCAGGAGGTGCTGCGGGACAAACAGACAGTTTATCCCCGCATGCTGAGCACCCCACAGGCTCTGCATGGACCCAGTGTGGTCAGTGCTTAGCCATAGCCTGCAGCAAGCCAGGTAAAGCTGTCTTTTGTACGATGTGGGGGAAGGTGAGGCCCAGTGAGGAAGTCTCTCGGAAGAGATTTGAGTGGGCGCCATTCAAAGACTTCTGTAACAGAGAGGCTGGGCAGATGGCTTGCCACCCCAGAAGCTCATAGAGAGTGGCACTATTGAACAGGGCAGTGGTGGCACACACCTTTAATCCCAGCACCAGGGAGACAGAGGCAGGTGAATCTCTGTGAGTTCATGGCTGGCCCGGTCTACAAAGGGTGTTCTAGGGCCGCCAGGAATGTTACACAGAGAAACCCTGTCTCTAAAAAACGGAAAGAAAGAAAAAAGAGTGGCACTTTTAGGAGGTGTGGCCTTGTTGGAGTGCACGTGACTTTTCTGGAGGAAGGGTGTCATGGGGGGTGGGAGGGCTTTGAGGTCTCAAATGCTCAAGCCAGGTCTAGTGCAATATTCCCTTCCAGCTGCCTGCCGATCCAGATGTAGAACTCTCAGCCACTTCCCCAGCACCACGACTGTCTGCACACTGCCATGACAGTAATAGACTAAACCTCTGAAAGTATAAGCCAGCCCCAATTATGTTTTCCTTGGTAAGGGTTGTCATGGCCATGGTGTCTCCTCACAACAATAGAACGCTGACTAAGGCAGTGGGTAAGAGTGCTTGCTACGCAGACATGAGGACCTAAGTTCAGATCCCCACATCCCGTGTTTAAACACACAGAAACGTTGACACACACACACTGGTAACTCCGGAGCTGGGGAGGGCAGGGCAGAAACAGGAATGGATTGCTAAGGCTTGCTGGGCAACGAACAGCAAACTCCAGATTCAGTGACACACCTTGTCTTTAGGGGATGGGGGAGAGAGTGACAGAGGAAGTCACATGACATCAACTGCTAGAAAGGGAGGAACATGGCCACCCTGTTGACCTCAGCCTGGAGCCAGCAGCTGTCTTTTGGAAGACCGAGCTTTTTCCCAGAGCAGGGGTTCTCAACCTTTCCAGTGCTGCGACCCCTGAGTACAGTTCCTCATGTTGTGGTGACCCCCCCAGCCACAAAATTATTGTTGTTGCACTTCATAACTGTAATTTTGCTACTGTTATGAATCGAAATGTAAATATCTGATATGCAACCCCTGTCCGGTCGCAACACATAGGTTGAGAGCCACTGCCCTGAAGGAAGGTGAAGTCAGAACCTGGGATCACAGATGTCTCTCACAGCTTTGGATGGGCAGCAAAAGGCCCAAGTGTCTGGTCCCACGTTGCTTTCCTTGCTGCTGGTACAATGAACCACTCTGAGCCCATCCATTGCTGGGCCAATGTGTGACCCTGGGAGTGTGCTTCCCTTCTCACTAGAGGGATCATACTAGTGCTGTCCTAGTGTCTCTGGACAAACGTCTGGGCATCTCTACTCAAAAGCCAATATTAGGGAGATGAGAACTGATGGGGTAGAATCAGGTTTCTTCGAGGACCGCCACCATGGCAAAGAGACAAAGCTGCCAGGGATGCAGGAAGAAGGAGGAGATGGGCAGAAAGGCTGCCTCTCAATGCAGTTTCCTTCTGGCCGCAGCCCTGCAGTGGAGTTCATGCTTCTGGAAGGACTTCCCAAACTCCCTTCTGAAGGGCACGGTGCTGTTCTGTGAGCCAAACCTCCTGGAACTACTCATGCTTGTGAAAGACTATGGAAAGGAGGTTCATGGCTTATGCTATATGCAGACGGCTAGATGGTATAGACTCTGTAAATCTAAAGAGATATGACTTAGCAGTTAGCATGTTGATCCTTTAGGCAGGTTTCTTCTCTAGAATTTTGAGTGCCAGGCAAAAGGGAATGGAGCTAAGGCTTGAAGGGGATTAAGGAAGTGAAGCCGGCCTTGCGGTGAGGCAGGCTTGGGGAAGGGGAGACTTGGGGAGGAAAGCAGGACTGGGGAGGGGAAACAGGCCTGGAGAGGAGGGAAATAAAGATGACTTTCCAAGAATGGCTCCCAAGGAGCAGCCATGCTGTCACAGCGACAAAGAGGTAGGCACATTGGAATGTCCACAGGGCTTGGTCCGGGCACCCAGTCTGTGCTGGTCAGCTGGCTGCTGCCTTATTATCCAAGACCAGAGTCTGTAAGCATCGAAGCAGCAGTGGCCAGAGAGGGATGAAGTACCAGCAGGCTGGAGCTGTCCTGCTACCCTCACAGGCCGGCTGTCTTGAGTGAGGTGGCTACTGAGGAAAACCCCTCATTTCACAGCCTGGATATATCACGTGGAAACTAGCAGTGTTTTCAAAGACAATTTGACCAAACCCCCCTGAAATGAAAATGTCATCAGTGCTTATCTAAGGTTTCTCTTTCGATTACAAGTCAGTTGTGTGCAGCCCAGAGACATTAAATGGGAAGTTCCAGAAATAAACTCCTGGTGAGTCTTCAGTTACATGCTGTTCTGAGTAGTGTGAGGAAATCTCATGCCTTTCCACCCTACCCACCCCCCAGGACATAAATCATGCCTCTGTCCAGTGTGACCACACTACATATGCTATCCATACTCCTCAGTACTCCATTTACTGGGTGGGGTGTTGGTAGAGCGATGTGTGTATTCAAATGACCCTTCTAACTGCTACGGGCATGAAAAAGAAAGATGTCACACGTTTGTGGCTGGGAGCTGAGACAAATTACTCTTCAGAGGAGGGTTTCTGAGATAGTTAAGGCAGTAGGCAGGGTTCTGGGGGGAGGGAGCCTCCAGTTTCAGAGTTCAGAGGGAGTTTCTGGCTCTTAGAGGTTGGGGGATGAGGATTTCATATCACACCAGTGACTTAGCCTGCGTTTAGGAGTCAGGCAAGAAGGCACTAGACGGGAGAGTGAGGCTGTAGCATCGGGAGTCTGCAGCTGCCTCTGGCTACAAGGAGGAGAGAGGGAAGGACTTCCAGGCCACGGTAGTTCTCACCTGTCTGCTCTCGTCCTGGAGTGGCTACAAGGGACATAGCTTGACTTCTCCATGATTGCAACATCAGCTTTCTCTATTATCCTTACTAGTCAATGTCAAAGCCAGAGTCATCAGAGAGGGAGGATGGAGTCATAGCTGAGAAAATGTCTCCATAAGATCTGGCTGTAAGGCATTTTCTTAATTAGTGATTGGTTGGGGAGGGCCCAACTCATTGTGGGAGGGGCCACCCCTGGGCTCATGGTCCCAGGTTCTATAGGAAAGCAGGCTGAGCAAGTCATGAGGGGTCAGCCAGTAAGCAGTGCCCCTGCCCTCCTCCCACATCCGTCCCATGGCCTCTGCATCAGCTCCTGCCTCCAGGCTCCTGCCCTGTTTGAGTTCTTCCCTTCACTGCCTTTATATGGAACTATGAGTGAAATAAACCCTCCCCAAGATGCTTTTTGTTGTGGTGTTTCACACAGTAACAGTATCCCTTACTAAGACACCTACTTTCTTAAGATTTAGTCTTTGTTTATTTGTGTATACACATGCCTCTGTCTAAGTGTCTGTGCACATGTGTGCCAGAAGAGGGCGTTAGATATCCTGGAACTGGAGTTACAGGCGGTTGTGAGCTGGGAACAGAACTCGGTCCCCTGCAAGAGCGGCCAGTGCTCTTAACTGCCGAGCTGTCTTTGTATCCCCCACATCTGGTCTGTTCAAGCCACAGCATCTAAGGTCTGCCACTGATGACAAAGACCTCTGCTGGGGCACAGCAGAGAGAAGCCTATGCCACTTCACTGAAGTGTGGTAAGGTATTTAGAAGGCAGGAAGTCGCTTGCACTCAGTACTGACCGCCATATGTTTTTATAATTGCTGGGTTGTATTATTCGTCATCATTGCTCATTTCTTCCTGTGACTGATAGATAAATTACACCGCAGGGATGTGTGCACAGTGAAAAGAACCATCGGTACAAGGGCTCAGAGTTACCCAAAGATCCGGACACCCACAGTGGGTCTTGGGACATTTATTCTAATCATAGAAATCTGAGTAGTGGCTCTGATCTGGACAGGGTTGAGCCCAAGCACAACGGCTGTGTGGCAGCTTGTTTTGGTGGTGTCAGCCCTCCAGAGCCACACACACACACACACACACACACACACACACACACACACACTTGCATACATGGGCACACATATTTTCTGTTGCAGCCACAAAGCAACTGATTCATATTCTGAAGACTTAATCTGGGACAAGCTCAGATGACCAATGGCTACTTCCTATGTAGCCCTTCTCTTTTACTGGGTAATGTGGGGACCATAGGATTGTGGGCCATGAAGGAGGGACCCAGATTCCATCAGCTGTAGTACATTAGCAGAGTTCATGGAGGGATGAGGCAGCCCTCAGTGACTTGGGACCTTCTATTCGACTTGTTTTTAGTGTCCTCTGGTCTTGCCTTTGCCCAGACCTGTGTCACTTACTCTGCTTATGAGTCCCGTGATGCAATGCGAGCTACTTCTAATGTGGTGAGAAACCTGTTCTAACAGGAAAATACACACTGCTGGCATGTGCAGGGTGGTCTTTCGATGTGAGCCCATGATTTCAGTTTCTGAGAGCCGCCACAACCCCTTCACTCAAGCCCAAGGACAAGCCACACTGAGAGAAGGGCGCCTCCCAGAAGCAAGGACTAGCCACACTGAGAGAAGGGCGCCTCCCAGAAGCAAGGACTAGCCACACTGAGAGAAGGGCGCCTCCCAGAAGCAAGGACAAGCAATTCATCAAGCACCAAACCTTGTGAGGAAACAGTAGAACAGAGCCTCAGGCTGAGTCACTCACAAACTAAGTTCCCCGACTCCTGAAATGGGCTGTTGGAAGTAAAGGTTTGGGCTGAGAACTGGAGCCCAGGGAGAGAACGAACAGGTGACTACATCTGTAGCAATCCACACCAGCAGCTCCTGGCCTCTGCACCAACAGGTGTCGGTGGTTTTGCATAAGAGGTTGCCTTTGTTGGCAGCAGCTCTGAGGGGAGAATCTAGGAGGATGGCAGGGAAAGGTGCCGTTTATGTGCGTGGGCGGGGATGTTTTTGTCGTTATGAAGCACAGAAAGTTCCAAGGTCATTTCATCCCCATACCCCAGGGCATTAGCATCAGGAAGCTCTGAGTGTCAAGGGTAGGAGTGGTGCTCTCCCCGCTGGCTCTGTCTCAGTGGGATGGGCAGAGCACTAAACGCTGGTTCTGGCACCCACCATGCCCACACAGGAGTCCAGGGAAGGCTTGGGCTGTGTCCATCCTCGGGAGCTCAGGTGCTGGCTTGTCTCCGTTCTTCAAGTCTTCAGGTCTCTCTGAAAGTGAAAACACGGGTCACCATTTTCCCCCTGCAAGCCATGTCTTAGACATTGTAACTCTGTGGGCACCTAGATTTTCCATTAAATGTTATCGATGGTCACTGGGGAGGCTTGGGTCTCTGAGGGAGGATGCTGCTAGGCTCCCATCCAGAAAGGCCTCTGTACTTTTCATCTCTACCAAAGATTGTCCCCAGACCGCTGTATGAATGTGCTAGGTCTCAGCAGCGTGTTCCTAAGACTTACTATGAGACAGAAAAATTTTGTTTTGCCTTAGCTGGATAGGGAAACGGGGGGGCGCGGGGCGTAGAACGAAGATGATGGAGTGGGGACCGCTGCAGGTGGCAGGACTCCTGCAAGGGCCTCTAGTGAGACAACTCAAACCTGGGAACCCTCCTCCAGAGCAGAGGGGCTTCCGGCTCTTGCTTGAGCTGCTTGGAAAGAGATTTGGAAGCAGGTGTGTCTGACAGAGGGCATCTCCTGCAGGTCATCAGTGGTCACAGACAGCTGATGACTAAGATGCCCTGTGAGACCATAGCAAAACCCCTCAGAGAACAGACGCTTCCAGAAACTGTCAGGCCTTTTCCCGATTGCCAGGGAGCCTTGGTGCGCCAGCCTTCCTAAAACGATGTTCACGAAGATCACCTGGTCCTTGCTCCAGCTCCCCAGTGAGAGTGGCAGGAGGAGGGGCCTGGAGAGTCTTCAGTTTCAGCAAACAGCCAAGGAAGGGTTTGCCCACCCCAAGTCTGCTATCCATTTATCCCCCTGGGCAGAGTCACACTGAGGTCCTGGTCTGGGTTCAGCTGTACTCACTTGCACGAACACACACACATACACAATCAAAACATAAAATAAGATCTTTGGTTAAATAAATTATAATCTTTAAAAAAAAAAGTCAGTGCTGCTCAGTGTTAGAGTACCCGTCTAGCGTGCAGGCCCTGGGTTTGAATCCCAGAACCCTACTAACCAAGTCTGTTGGTACATGCCTGTTATTCCAACACTTGGGAGGTGGAGGCAGGAGAACCAGAAGTCCAAGGTCATCATCAGCTACACAATGAGTTAGAGGCCAATCTGGATTTCATTAGACCCTGTGTCAGATACCACACACACACACACACACTCACACAAGTACAGGCATGCACACACATACATTTACACACACCCTAACACAAGTACAGACATGCACACACACACACACACAAGTACAGGCATGCACACATAGGTACACACACATACATTTACACACACACTCACACAAGTACAGGCATGTACACACACATACACTCGCACAAGTACAGGCATGCACATATATGCACACACACAAGAACATGCATACACACAAGTACAGGCATACACACACAGGTACACACACATACACACACACAGTAAATGCAAGGCTTGGAAACCTGAAACTGATTGCTGCAGGCTGGAGGGCTAGAAGGGACAAGGGTTTCCCTTGGGAGGATCAGGAAATTTTGAGAACTGAACAGAGGTGGTGGCCGCACACATTAGTGTACCAAGCCATGGGATTGTTGTCTTTTGAGAGTTTGTCTATGTTACATAAATTTCACCTCTGTTATGTCAGGAGAAAATATCTTTGAAACTGGACTAGGGGATGGTATGAGGCCAATCTGCGATAAAGTTAGTAAATATTGGCTTAGTGGTTAGTCCCTGGCTGGGCCTTGCCTTCCTGCAGCCCTTTCCCACTTGGAGGGCGGGGATTCCTGAACATCTAGCTCACATCACAGTAAGACCTGCGTCTATCGGAACATCTTTTTTCCTGGTGCCCAGTGAGACTCACTTTCCTGATGGCTCAGGGTTCCCCTGTCTTCCTCTGACCAGGGGTCTCTGTAGGCCTGTCCTACGTCCCCCTGCCTGAAGCAAAACTACCCAGGCCCCTCTTGCTTAAGAACTCTGTTCCACTCTGGCTCCCATGAGGCATCAACTTCACAGGGGCATTTGTGGGCCCCCTCTCCTGGCTCTACCTCATCTAGACTCAGCCTACCCACCCTCTGCTCCACACACTCATGGCATCCTAACCCCACCCCCGCTCCAAGGGGAACACCTCATTCACTGGTCAGCTTTTCCCCTGCTGAGTCAAGCAGGTCCATTCTTCCTGTCCCTCCCCTGTGAGTCTGGATCACACCCGCGGGGTTAGCTGTGCTATAGGGTTGATACCCCACAACCACCACCAAATCATTGCAGAATCAAGATCCTTTCCATTCCTCCTGGCTCCCCATGGCAGAACTGTGGTCACACTGGGTGCAGGGAACACATGAGCTGGAGAGTCATATCAACCTCCAACGGGGGCACTCCAGCCACCTCCAACGGGGGCACTCCACCCACCTCCAACTGCTCGTGAATCCAGTCCAGGAAGGAGGTGATGCGGGTGTAGACTCCAGGCTTGTTCACCTCGGCGCAGCCAATTCCAAAGCTTGTCGCTCCCACCAACTTCCACAGTCTCCTCTCCTGGCACACCAGGGGCCCACCGCTGTCTCCCTGGAGAGCAGGAGGAGGCAAAGGTCGGGGAACTGAGCAGCTACACTGTGCTGGTGACACAGACTTCCCTTTCATGTTGCGAGCCATTGATGGCACGAGCTCACCCCTCCCCGTGCACTTCTAAATGCACTCCGCTGTTGCCAGGAGGTGGCTCCTTGCCTGTATGGGAAGGTTTCCTTCCAGCTGTGTCTCCCCCCCCCCAGGTCCCAAACACTAAACCGGGAAGGTCAAGGTGGCCCGTGTAGCCCATGGGGCTGAAAGAGGAAGGGCCTTCTGCGTGAGACAGAGCTCACTCACTGTGACCACAGGCGGTACTGAGTCTCACCCGCTGTGGCTTTTGGAAGCGCAGGCCCATCCGCTCACAACCCGCTTGCTGCTCTGGTTGTCCCCATATACACTCAGAATCAGGCTGGAGAGGATTAGGGGAGGCTACATCCCGTGCCCTGGAAGACTGGGTGCCTAGGTAAACACAGGCCGGGCCAGCAGGAAAGCCAGAGATATCTTAAGCAAATCTCTTCCTTGTGCCATGTAAATTTGCTTTTTGTTCAGTCACAGGGAAGCTGGCAGTGGCCTGTCCCATGGGCTGGGTCACTATACTGGACTCTTGCCTGCTACCACCCCCCCCCCCGGGGTAACTGGCAGCCCTTTACCTGGCAGCTGTCCACACCGCCCTTCAGATAGCCTGCACAGAGCATGGATGGGGAGATGATGCCGCCGTACACCTCCCTGTGGTTGCAGATCTTGTTGGAAATTAAAGGGACGGCTGCGTGGTTCAGGACAGGGGAGGCGTCACCTGCCTCAGAGTAATGAGGAAATGTGCAGTGAGGAGCCTAGCTTGGAAAACAGAGACAGAGACAGGAGAAGAGGGGGCGGGGATATGCCACCTGACACAGCGATGATAGCAAACACAGGCCCGTAGCTGGAACAGCAGACTGTCATGGAGCACAGAGTGTCCCTACTGAGTGGGTTGTGTATCACACACACACACACACACACACACACACACACACACACACACCCGCCTTCGTCGGGGCCACTTATTCCCCTAAGAGACTTGAAGCGGGAAACAGTAGACAAATGTTTCTTCCCATAGCCAAGTCAAGCCCTTGACCCACCCCGGGTCAATCCACGTTACAAAAGGGAAACTGAGGCTCCCGAAGGCCTCACATATCTGGACAGAGCTGTATGTGGTCAGCAGAAATGTGTCCCTCCAAATAGAGGTATGGGCGCCAGACCTGTGGCAGTGCCGTTAGCCAGGGAACTTCACAGGCAGGCGTTCAAGGGTACAGGTGTGAGATAGCCTCAGTGATGTGGGTAGGCTCATGAAAACTGCAAGCACTTAGCAAAGACTCAAAGAAGGCCACATCAGAGGAGAGGCGCTTAGCATCGGGTCAGCCCGTTGGCCTCGAAGATGAGGAAGAGGCCGCCAGCCCAGGAGTATAGAAGCAAAGGTAAGGGGACAGCAGTCATCAGAGCCACCTGAGGAGCCAGGCTGCCAGCACCTGGGACCCCTGAGGCTGGCTGGTGACTTCTGAGCTGTAACAGGAAGACAATAAACACAAGCTGAGCATTGAATCACAGAGATTGAGAGGCTAAGGCCGGAGGGTTGCTGTAAAGTTCATGGTTAGCCTGGACTACACAGTGAGTTCCTGGACAGCCTGTGCTACACAGTGAGTTCCTGGACAGCCCGGGCTGCTGTGAGACCCTAAATGAATATGTCTCCTAAGGAAAACACTGAGCTTGATGTATGGGTTGGATTATAGCCCTCTTTTGATTTGTCTGCCTATAACTGAGACACGTGACCCTATTTGGAACAGCCTCTGCAGAGGCTGCTGAAGTGCGATCTCAAGGCCAGGTCATCTTGCATGTAGGGCAGGCTCTAGATCCAACAACTGATGTCATGGAGACAGGGATTGATGAGATGGGTCAGCCAGTAAAGTTGTTGGTTCAATACCCGGAACCCACATTGGTGACAACAGAAACTCAACCATCTAGACATTTGGACTGGAGTGACACATCAGTCAGCCAAGGAGCCTAAGAATGGCTAGAGGCACAGATGCTGGGGAAACGTTGGGATAGATCCCACCTCAGGCCTGTAGACACCTTGACCTCAGACTTTAGAACTGTGAGAGGATTTGCATCTGCATTTTTTGAGCCTTTTGAGCCATCTGGGCCATGGTAGTTTGCTGCAGTTTCTAGTGACAGCAGGATGCCCTGAGCCTAGAAAATGCATAAAGAAAAGACATTGCTGGGAACCTTGAGCCTCGAGACCGTGTCAGCAGCCTACCTTGATGAAAAGGACACAGATGGTCCGGGCAGGTATGTGACCATGACTGACAGTACCCGCATAGTGGAGGCTCTGGGTAGCGCCTTCTATTCCATGCTCACAGGAGAAAACACGACACCCCACCATGCAAACTGAATAAAACTTGGGGCATCATCAAGGTGTGCTTCATACACTCGCTTTGCGGAGTGAGAGGAGACAGGAAGGAGGGGTGTGTGAAGGCCTCTCCGTGGACCAGTACCCACACTTCTCCCTCGTAGCCCGTTTCTCTCCAGAGAAGACTCACAACGTCACTGTGACCAAAGATAAGTGACACCATAGTAGCCTACTCAGCAGACTGCTGCTGTGAACAGTTGATCCTCACTAACCCTGAGCTGGGTGGGACCTCCAAGCATCCTGAGGGGACATCACAGCAGAACATCGGAGGGGCCCTCCCAGCCTCTGGCTTCAGACCACTGACCTCCGTCCTCCGTGGCCCCCCATCCTGATGTCCAGCACAGTTTCCCATCAGGAAAGTTCTCTTCCGAGTTGGGCAGACAGACGGGCTGGATGGTCTCTGTTAGAAAGGGAATGGTGATATGAAATCCCTGAAGCCGCTGTCCCAGAAATCAACCGACTTTGTGTTCGGGTCTCTGAGCCCATCTCCTAGGGAGGGGTTGGGCCTTGGTCATTGAAGTCAGCTAACTCAGAGCAGAGGCCCCACCCACTCATCCCCCAGAGTCTATAAAACCTGAGTGCAGGCTGGAATGTGGTGTAAGTCCACAGCGCAGCAGCAAACCCTGGCTGTGAATAACTGGATACTACCTAGTTTAGGCTTGGGGACCGTGTGATCACATGTCATGGCTGTTGCTGGCACCATAGGAGATGTAATTGGTGACAAAATTTTATTGCTCAAATGTGCATTAAGTCACACTTGGGCCAGAGTTGGCCACTCCTGGTCCAGACCTTGGGTGTATACACAGAACATCACACAGGGATGTTCCTGCTGCCCCTGGTGTTTGTAGAGGGCTGGTCTGTACTTAGGCTGTGTCACTGAGACCCTAGCAAAGCCAAGTGACTACATGTGCCCAGGGCTTTCATGTGAGCAGCACCCGGAATGATGATAATGGAAAAGTGGGGAGAAGCCGGGCGGTGGTGGCGCGTGCCTTTAATCCCAGCACTCGGGAGGCAGAGGCGGGCGGATCTCTGTGAGTTCGAGGCCAGTCTGGTCTACAAAGCAAGTTCCAGGACAGCCAGGGATGCACAGAGAAACCCTGTCTCGAAAAACCGAATGAAAGAAAGATGAGGAGGGGCGGCATGTTTAGCTCTTTAGCCAAGTACAGCAGCAGACAGCTCCCTCTCTAGAATCAAACACCACCAAAAATAGCCGGAAAGCAGCGGCCCGCAATCCCACCCCGGCAGTCCTTCCTCTCTGTTGTGCTAGAAATCGCACAGGTTCGCTGTAGAGAAGGGGGTCCACCTTGGAAACAGCCCTGCCTGCCCTCCAGCGCGCTTATCCTTGGAAGGTCAGGACTCTCACTGATGGAACCAATGTTCTGTGCCACTCACAGAATGCTGGAGAGTTCCAGCAGGGCCAGCTCTGCGGGAGTTTCTATAACAGCCAGAGGGCTGAGCTTGGAACTCAGCCCCTGTCACTAGAGGTGATAAGAATCTGAGAGAGGAAAAGGAGAGATCCGTTCTAAGAACACCCAGGGAGCTGAAGATTCCTAGAACCTTCCAGATGTTGAGGAACAGGGAGGGAAGCTCTTGCCAAGCCCTCAAGCTGCCCCAGACTGGGACCCTGCTCTTTCCACCAGAGGGACCCTACCAGAGGCTCTATGTAACCAACACCAAGATGGGAACGTGCTGTCTGCCTGGGGTCCCTAAGCGCAGGTGACTCTCTTCCACCACCTAGAGGTACCAGGTGGCCTGGCCTAGAGAAGCTCTTACATTCAGTTGGCACCAGACCGAGAGACCAGAGCAGGACCAGGAAGGCTGTGAGATAAAATCAGCAACACAGCCACCTTCAGGACCAACAAGCCAGATCTAAAGGAGGTAACAGAGCTGAAATCTTATGAGAGGACTCAGTCTCCTAACATGCTCTGATTAAAGGCACATAACTTGGGCTGGGAAGATGGCTTACCACACGGTCGTGAGGGCCTGAGTTTGATCTCTGAAAACCTTGTAAAAAGCCAGATGTGATGGCATTGGGTCCCTTACCCAGTGCTGAGGAGACAGAGACCAAAGGGCCCTTGGGGATTATTAGTCAGTCAGCCTAGTAGGTGACTCTAGACCAATGCGACCCTGCTCCCCACAAAAAAAAACAAGGTGGAAGGTTCATGAGGAACACCACCCAGGGTTGGTGTTGGTGTTGGCCTCTGGCCTCCACATGCACACACACACACACACACACACACACACAACTTTAATGAGCAAAGGCAATGTGTCAACACCCAGCTGAATCAGACATTGGAATTTTCTGGCAAGGATAGTAAAGCAGCCATTATAACGATGCTCCAACAAGCAACCACCAATTCTCTTGAAATGAATTGAAAGCAACTATCGGGCACAGACGCCTAGACATTACCATCAAAGGTGAGTGGCTCAGCCAGCTTCATGAGGGCGATGTCATTGCCTAGCCGCTTTGGCTTGTACTTGCTGTGGTAGATGATTTTCTCCACCAGATGGGAGGGCACAGGACTGTCCATTAGGGACACAAGACCCACCTGGACGCTCCAGGACTTGGGGTGGTACAGGCTGAAATGCATAGACAGAGAGACGGAGCTCAGGACAGACCCAGCCATGCTGGGCTCCAGTGTCCCAAGAGCCCAGGGAGATGTGAGAGACGTCACCAGGTGGGAGATGGCTCAACGCTCCACACATCTGTGCCCCACGTTGAGCACATTCCCAAGTCCTGCAGGGAACACAGGCCATACCCCTTGTACATCCCAGACAAGCCATTCTCTCCACACCACCCAAGGGACAGGCGTTTGAGAGCCTCATGCAAGCTTTGCTCCCTGCAGAGGGCGTCAGGATCTTTCTCCACTGACCAAAACAGGAGTTAAAGGGAGTCAGCCGCTGGGTCTGGGATGCTCTCTCTGACTTCCTTGCCATCTAAACTCCTGACAGACGCAGCTTGGTGGGGGTTTGGTGTTGTCTGGGTGCCCTGCACTTCTGTCCCATGGTACCCTGCTGTGCCATCACATATGTGGCAGGAGTGAGCCACAGGGAGGCTGGGGACCCTGATTTCCATAGGGTCTCTTTCCACCCCTTCCTCCCTTCCTCCTCTTTCTACCTTCTCTGTGGCAGCCCAGCTCATGTCACACCCAGACACAGAGGCAGGTCCTATGACAAAGGTGGGCATTCGTGCCTATGTGTGGCTTTACGGTGACTGGCTTCCCGCCTTCCTAACCCGCCCTCACCCCCAGATCACCCCATCTCCCTCTGACCCAGGACTAGATAAGGCTCTGGGAAGATCGGGTCCACAGCGGCTGGTCCAGACACTCACTCATAAACACAGTGAGCAGCAGTGACGATCCACAGAGGGGTGATGACAGAGCCCCCGCATAGGTGGTACCCCTGGAACTGGAGGCTGACCTGCCATGGCCACTGGGCAAGCGAGGATAAGTTTCCACCCACAATGCGGAAGCCGTAGCCAGTTCTCAGGCCACAGGCTACAGAAGGAGAAGAGGGGTTTATGGGTAATGCTGTCAGCACACTAAACCTCCTACCTAGCAATATTCCTGTCCCCAACCCTGCAGGAGAGGGGTCAGGCACACAAGGGGTCGGGCTCACATGGGGTCGGGCACACAAAAGACTCAGAGGTACGCAGGGTTTGCGGGAGGCAGTGGGAAGGGCTGTTGCAGAGAGCAGACATGCTCGCCCTGCTCATCAATGACATCCTAGTGCCTAGCCCCACACTGGCATCTAAGAGAAGGGGTCTCGTGTTGGGGAAGTCTTTTGTCAATAAAGCACTGTTGAGCCAATAGGAATCTAGATAGGTGGGACTAGGAGTCCAGGAGGATTCTGGGAAGGAGAAACACAGGAGAGTTCGACATGTAATGCCATGGGGTAGGAAGCCCGGAACTATTCTCCGGTAAGAGACATACTTAGATTAACAATTATGGGGTAATTACTTAAGTCAGAGCTAGCCAGTAAGAAACAAGCAAGGCCAACAGCTTCATAATTAATATAGCCTCCTGTGTGTTTATTTGGGACTGATGCGGCTCTAGAACCAGGCTGGCGGGAAGGCTCCTCTCAAAGAAAAAAGCTTCTCTTTACAGTCTCGAGCTGTCTGTCCCCAAAGGAAGGACATGACTCCACAAGGGCAGCTTCCATGTGACTCCCTACCTACTTAGACACTTAGGACACTTACCCGAGCACTTCAAGGTGACCACGTGGCCTGAGGCACAGCCTTCCCTACAGAAGAAAGAGCAGTTCATGGATGGGCCATCAAGCAGCTGTTTGCAGAGCAAGGGTCACGCGCGTGGGACCTGGGGGGGGCTGGGTGTCCAGAGGAAAACCTGACTGAAGAGTTCCTGTGGCGTTTTCTCCTTGCCTCAGTCTGGGCCCCAGTGAGGAGATGTCTCAGATCTGAGCACCTGACTGTTGCTAAGGGAACCTGGTTTTTCTTTATCTGAGTTTATCAGGGTTGTGGCTGTGGGGGGGGGGGTGGACGGGGAGGGCAGCTAAGTGGCGGGTGTGAAAGCTCTTTGTAAAGGATGCTGTCTAATGTCCTTGTCTCTCTCTTCCCTGCTTATTTGCTTACAAACGCGCACATGCGCACACATGCGCACACACACACCACACACTCAATTCCCTGCTGTGAGGCAGGCCCAGCGCTGGCCCGATGACGTGCCTGCCTGTCACTGGGTGTCACCGTCGCTCTTCTGCTGTACTCCCCTCCCTCCCTTGACACAACCACACTTCCCTGGGTTGGGGGTTCACCCCTGCACCCCAGCTTATGCACCACCATCCTAACTGCAGCAGTGAGCTCCACCGCTGCTCATGGGGGTGACATTCATCCCTCTCAAGGCAGTGCGCCACAGCTTCACAAACCCAGCCTGTGACTCAGCACCAGTGTAGAAAGCACCGGCCCCTGTCTTAACCGCTTACCTCGTGTACACAGAGTGGTGCAGCGTGGTCACCTTGTCATCTGGCAAGAGGTGGTTAATGGACGCAAAGTCGCCCTGGAACTGCTCCTCCAGCGCATCCACTCTGAGGGGGTCCGAGCTTACGTAGCTGCAGGTGCATTGGAAACTCAGACCCCAATCGTCATGGTGACTCTGAAATGCCAGTCACCCACACATACTCACCAGGTTACAAGCCTCACACTTTGAGGACCCCACTTGGTCCTCCCCAGACCATCAAAGGCTTCATTTTGCTGAGGAAATGCACACACCTTAGTCAGGCATTCCAGGCTGGCTGTGGTCTGGACACCTGCTTGCTGTCCCACAGTCTGCAGCCTGGCCTGCCCACCCACCCAACTCCAGCCGCAGAGACCGCTTCCTGCCACCGTTACTTCCCACCCAGCCCGCTCCGATGCACTCGGTTTGGCTGGAGCCGAGCCTCAGGGGAGGCAGCTAGGTGTCTAGTTCCTGAGCGTCAGGAGTGGGGGAATATGAGAGCCTGTCCCACTTAGTCTAGCACTGACAGTGAAGGCAGTGACTCAACTCAAGGACCTGGGACCAAGCAAATGGGCCCAGTGTCAGGAGACAGGCAATACAGCCACGGTGCAGAAGAGAGATTTAAAGAGACCAGAACAGGGCAGAATAGCTCAGCACATACCCAGCAATGAAAAATCAAAAAAGGAAATGCAGCATTTAAGGGGTCCCAAAGGAAGGCGGGAGAGCAAAGTGTCCTGCAGGTGGCTAACTGCTAACCCACCCGGCAGTTTGTCACACAGGGTGCCATCCCATTGCTGGCACAATGCTGGCCACAGGGACTCACACAAGTACAGTGACAGTGTTCAGCCAAGCATGGGTTTGAAGGAAATGCCATCAAGATATTTTTCCAGGCATTTCCTCCCAGGGGAGGCCACGGTAGTCTGCCTAGGTGTAAAGGAGTCAGCAGTTGCTGAGAAGTCAGGTCGTGGGAAAGATGGCAGGGTGACAAGCTGGGGCCCATGAAATGCAGAAGGAGCCTAACTGGAGCCCACGGGTCCCCTCAGAGCAGCAGCCACCCCTCCCCCAGCCATGGAGAAGCTGTGTTCCTAGCATCCTCTCAGATCCGGGCAGTATGGCAAAGGCCAGGGATTTGGAGAGGGAGAATTTTCCAAAAGAGAAGAGGAAGAATGAGGAAGAGAATGACAGGAAACAGAGCTACCTAATGGGGAAACTGGGGTGTTTTGGTGTGTGTGTGTGTGTGTGTGTGTGTGTGTGTGTGTACATATGTGTGCATGCATGTGTGTGCATATGTGTGTGTATTTATGCATGTGTGTATGTGTGTGTACAAGTGTGTGTGTATGTGTGCATGAATACATTTTTGATGTTTTCCTTTTCTCTAATGAATAAAGCTACATAATTCTCTGAGTGACCTTTGCAGCTGTCGTTGAATTTTAGTTGCAGCTTGTTTAGGAACCCAGGTGTGCACAGGAGGCAGGCCTGGGGTACCCCAGCTGTGGGGTACCCAGGATCCCACTGGCTTAGATCCTCCACAATGGCCATAGCCACATAGTTTTGAGGACCTTGCTTCCTTGACTACAAACTAAGATTTACTTCAGAGTTTGCCTCCTTTGATCTTTGCTCAGTTCCCAAGATGCACAGGGGCATTCGGGAACCTGCCTGTGGTAAACTGAGAAGCCAAGAGGTAATAGCACCCTGGGAAACAAGGCAGGAGTCAGGGGGATGGCCATGAAGGAGAGGGGCCTTCAGTCAGTCAAAAGCATGTTGCTGCAGTGTAGACAGCCAGCAGCTGACTCCCAACTCTGAAGATGGAGAGACTTAGATGGTCTCCCAAGGCTAAGGGTGTTTCTGAACAATAGCATCCTCTGGGACTCTTGAGGGTGGGTGTGCAGACACGGATGTGACCAGCACCCATGTGTAACAGCACCCCTACATCTGCCCTTTAAGCTGCAAAGCCCTGAGCCAGAGAATTTTTTTTTCACTCAGAGGTCCCGGGCTTACAAACTTTTTGCGTTCTGTTACTGGTTTTCTTTTTTTATGGTTTGCATGTTTTATTTGGCTGTGTTGTTTGTTTGTTGTTGTTGTTGTTTGCTTGATTGGTTGGGTTGTTGTTGTTGTTTGACAGGAACTCGCTCTTCAGCTCAAACTCTCCATGTAGCCCAGGCTGGCCTAGAACACACATTGTTCCTCTCTGCCTCGCCAGTGCAGGGATCACACGTGTGCCACCATGCCTAGTTGTTGCAGTGCTGGAACAGAACCTGTGGCTTTGTGTATGCTACGTCAGTGCTCTACTAGCTGAGCCCCAGCCCCAAGGATCTTAATTGCTTTTGCATCTAAGGTGCCAGCCTCACCCTTCACACACAATGTTCTGTGTGACTTGGAGTCACCCGGCTGCTTGGGCCTTGTCTTGCTCCCTGTGGAGGAAGACGAGGCTAGGTGCCACGAGGCTGTCATAAGAATGAAGTGTGACATGTTAAAGCATCTGGAGAGCTCCTACCGTCCCCATCCTGTCATCCTTGCCGTTTGGCCTTGACTCACCTGGGAAACCCCAGCTGGGCACAGGCAACCTTGGCATAGTGGCTTTTCCAGTCATCAGAGCACACGGTCCTCCAGGCAGCAGCCGTGAACACCTGCAGCGCTGCTCTTTGTCCACTCACCCGCACTGGCCAGGCGTGGGGAGAAGCGCGGTGAGGACCAGGGCAGGCTGAGGCCAGGCAGAGGCTGACGACAGCCCCACTCACTCCACACACCTCCTCTTCCGACCCGCTCCCACCCACGGCCCCTCCCCATGAGATGCTGCACCCTGAGACCCCCACTCAGAACCCGCCTAGTCCCCCGAGTGAACACAAACACACGTAACAGTCCTCCCACAACCTAGCTAGGCACATCCCAGCTGAGGACAGGGCATGGCAACGGCTGCACCTTGGATCCATCTCACAGACGGGAAGGGCGAGTCCTGGGTTGTGGTCACTCTCTATTACTTCCTCCAGTGAACGGTGGGACTCACCACATCGGAACTCATCCTCCCCGTCCTTGCAGTCAGAGACCCCGTCGCATCGAGCAGTCATTTCAATGCACTTGAAAGATGAATGGCACCTGTACTTCCCGGAGCAGTCGAAGTGAACTGGGGGCAGGCGGGAAAGGGAGACTGCTAGCAGGCGGGCGGCCCCTCCAGTGTGCGGCGCTCAGAGCCGCGCACCTGCCACGTGGCCTTGGACTTGCCCATCAATAATAAAACCCCGCAGTGAAATTGCATCCCTGACAACAGCCTGTTTCCTTCAGCCCCATCTGGCCTGAACTCCAAGGAGCAGGACTGCTGCACCCACGGTTACCACTACCGCCAGGAAGCACAGATCAGGGGTGTATTCAGACCCCCAAGGTTCAAAGCCAAGAGCAAAACTGCACGGCTGTGGCCAACACACCCAGCTGTCCCAGCAAGAGCCTCAACGGAGACGTTCCGACCACCCTGCTTCCTTTAACTCTGGGCCTGAAGCCAATAAACTATGGGACACACGGCCGCGCAGAAGGCGAACTCCACTGCCCTGTGCGCAGTCACTTGGAGGAGAAAAAGAGAAGCTGTATACTCTAAGAGAACCCCTTCCTCCCTATGACCCGCTTTCTCCAAAGCCCCACATACCTCCCTATAAACATAGCCAGGGTGCGTGGTACGGCTTGAATGGAAGTCTTTGTTCAACCCCAGCCCCCACCTTCCCATCCCAGAGTCCTGTTTCATCAGCTACCTGTGAGTAATTCTAACTGGGCAGGTACCCTGGGTGGCAGAGCCCAGAGCACGGCCAGCAGCCCCTGCCTGTTCCCACACTGGCTTGGCATTCACATAAGCAGATAGACCCCAACGCCATCAAACCAAAAGGACATCAGCCACCGGTAATTAAGGCCAGGCAACAGCAAGTACCGGCGGGGTGGGGGTGGGGCACTCATGCAAGTGTAAATGCCAAAGCGGGTATTGGAGCACCTACTAAATAATGGACTGGTACTCACTGCCCAGGCCGATAGCCAGCGCCAGTATCAAGGCAATGATCCCGATGACGATGATCGGAAAAAACTTCAAGGGCAGCAGGGACAAGATCTGAGCAGCTACTTCGTCTGCATCTGAGAACCAAAGGAGTGGGGAGTGGGGGAGCCAGGGAGCATGATTGACTTTGAGTGACATAAAACTTAAAGTGTAGCCGCGTGTCCTCTGTCCCCTCGGTGCAGAGAAAGTACCAGCCCAAAGACGGCTGACCTCATTGCATGAGTGGTCACTTTGTCTAGGTCAGTCTCACCCTTCCCAGTTATGGCCCAGCTCTCCGTCCCTGCTTAGGAGACATTGTTGTGGGTTGCAAAGTATCCTCCAAGGGAGCCTTTGACACCCTAACCCCCTGCAGCCAAGAAAGGGATCTCACTTGGCAGTCACGGAGAGCGCCAGTTAAGATGAGGTCCTTAGAGAAGGTACAACTCTTGTACGGCTGGCGTCCTAGGGAAGGGGGAGATTCCGACACAGACGCGGACATGCACAGAGAAAAGACAAGAGCCAAGGGGGACAGACAGCCATGTGAAGTTGAAGGCCGGGGGCAGGGTGACACGTCCACAACCCAAGGAGGAGTTCCAAAGGCTGTTGGTCAAAGGTCACTATCTGCACAAGGCCTGGCGGGTCCTGTGTGCATCCACGGGAGCAGGGTGGATATCGGGGCTCTCAGGCTTCCAGCCCCCCAGATAGGATACAAGGAGACTTTGTTGACTGAGCCACCCAGCTGTGACATGTTGTCCCAGCAGCCCGGGAAGAACAGCCGCAGGAAGTTCAGGGTCCCGAGGATGTGTTCAGAGAGGGTAGTGTGACATGGAGATGTTATGCCGTGTGCTTGAAGCAAGGAGGGCACTGGGCTCTCTCAAATTATCCCAAACTGGCCTTTCCCCCACAGAGTCACCCTCAGTCTTTGTTCAGGCCATGCACCACACGTGGGCAGAGGCCGTCATATGGCAGCATGTCCCCCAGAATGGGTCTGTCCAGCAGCTCGCTCCCTGTCCAGGTTAGTACATTTCATGTCCTTTTTCAGCTCAGAGCTGCCCCAGGTCGTCTTGCAGCTCCTAAAGACTGGGGTTCCCAGGCTCTGGATTCTTCGGCTCTCATGGGAACCGCCTGCTTGTGTGATACCCACAGGGAGGGAGCTGGCAGTAACACTGGCGACGAGGCCACCTGCTGTGTGGGGAGTGACAAATCCCTGACCTTGACCCAGGAGCTTCGTGCCTTCTGGCTACATCATCTATGAAACCTGGGCAGGCTAACTGTTAGCTTGCGAGTAAGGTGGACGCTACCACCCAAGGTGCCCTGCAGAGGTACAGCATCTCCACCTCTCCTCCCTGATGTGGCTCGGACACACTTGGTTTGATGGTTAATTTTCTATCAACTCAGCACAAGCCAGGATCATCTGGGAAAGGGGAACCTCCATTGGGAAAATGCCTTCATCAGACCTTTGGGCATATATAGTGTTTTGTTTTGTTTTGTTTCCTTTGACTAGTGTTGGAGGTGGAGAGGCCAGCTCATTGTGTGCGGTGCCACCTGGGGGCAGTGTTGGTTCTGGATGACATAAGAAAGTAGACTGAAAAAAAAATAGTGAGCAGCGCCCTCCATGGCCTCTGCATCAGCTCCTGCCTCCAGGTTCCTGCCCTGTTTGAGTTCCTGTCCTGGCTTCCCTGGATGATGGACCGTGAACTGCGAAGCTGGTATAAACCTTCCCTCTCTGAGTTGGTTTGGTCATGATGTTATCACAGCAACAGAGGCTAACTAGGGCGCTCAGGATGGTGAGTAAAATGCATCTCTCTGGAGCAGCCCCACAAAGGACAGACAAGCAGGAAAACCTCCAAACCTCCCTGGAAATGAACAAATGAAAAATGAGCCTAAATTCATCCTGACATCACAGTGACTTGGCTGGTACCGCACCCACTGGTGCTCACAGCGGAAGAGACCGTGAGCCTCTCACACAGCACAGGGCGGGATGCATTCGAGTCTGCTTTGTTAGTATTCAGGCGTCTGTCCTGGCCTGTCCTTGGGGTTCTGACAGGATACGCCCTCAGCCGCAGTCACCAAAAGCACCTGTACACATTCACTATGTTCCCATCTCCTCCCTCTCCCTCTCCCTCTCCCCTTCCCCCCCTCCCTCCCTCCTCCTCTCTCTGCTTCTCTGCCTATCTCTCCCACACAGACTGCCTCTTTTTCTTTTTTCTTTCTTTTTTGCTGCTCCTGTCCGCAAAGGCCATCTCCCCTTCCCACCTCCTTTCCCCTAATAAAAAAAAACCCCTCCAGATGATTTCTGTCACATGGCATCTTTCTCTCTCCAGCCAATTTTTAAATTACAACACCCTTTGTGTAAGATTGGAGATGTATCTACGTGGTTTAAAAGCAGATGGTGTTTTTGACCCAGTAATGTCACCTCTAGGAATGTATCCTAAATGCTGTCAAGGGTGTATACAGATGTCCCTCTCCACACACCCTGTGGAAGGTGCCATTCCCGAAACCAGCAAACAGGAAGCAGCCTGGACAGTCAGCAAAAGAGCAACAGGAAACCCCTCAGCATCGCTGTGGCACATGTGGGATGGAATTCCTAGGGGTCTTTTCCGATTTCACCCTGTCCTTTATACTCTGTCAGCAATCCAGAAGGCTTAAAAAGAATCCTTAGGGCATACAGGTTGCAGGTTGTTCAGAGCTACAGCCTGAATTGTCCAAGTTTCCACGCTGGCCCAGCTCAAGGGTTATCCTTCTCATTGCTCCCAAGCCGGACTCTCCAGACCAGCAAGTCACAGCACAAGGCCCCATAGAAGCAGGCATCACAGGGAAAACAAATGCTTCATCTAATAGACATGTGGCTCAAGGGACCACCTTTTCTTTTGGTGGCTACACCGATCATTTCAGTCAGGCACTTAGCATTTGGTGACATATAGCTTGTCTGAGTTTTCTAAAAGGGCTGTGACCACTGTTTCTAAGGAGTGGTCAGAGTTTTCCTATCCAGCATTCGGCCTCTTTCTGAGTGAACCTGAGCCAATACGGAGCTTGGGTCTCTGAAAACCGCCAAGAGAAGAAAACAAAACAAACAAACAAACAAACACAAAACTGCCTCCAGGGAGTTAGCAACTGCCCCTAACAAGGGGGCTCCTCCTGAGCATCCCCCAATTGCAAGATCAGGAAAGGGAGGCTATTAATGTGAAAATACCCAGGGAAAGCGGGAGACACAGCAAAGTCACAGAGTACCTGTCTAGTTCGATCCCTGGTACAGGAGAGAAGGAAGGAGAAGGGATGAGAGAAAGACAGACAGAGGGAGGTGGGAGAGAGAGAGAGAGAGAGAGAGAGAGAGAGAGAGAGAGAGAGAGAGAGAGAGAGAGAGGAGAGAGGGAGAGAGAAAGAGTGAGAGAATATACAAGGAGATCCCTCCACCACAAACACACACACACACACACACACACACACACACACACACACACGCACGCACGCACGCACGCACACACACGGGCACAGACAGACACTTGACCACATTCACCACTTCTGCAAAAGTCCCACCTACCTGGTGCCACAGGACTTATTTTCAAATCATCCAAGCCAAAGAGTGATCGGAAGGAGAAGGGGGCTTCGGATGCTGGAGGATCATTTTCTCCCATGGTGACTATCTCAGGGCCTCTGATGCTGGCTTCCGGCTCCGCCTCCACCTGCTTAGCCAGGGGTGAGCGGGATTGGTCCCTGTGGGAAGTGTGGGCACCAGGGGTGCCTCTGTCCCATTTTAAATCCTTTCGGTCAGACTTGAAGCCCACTCCCTCCCTGTGGGTTTGTCCCAAACACCCATCTACTGAGAGCACAACTTTCCCTGGACTTCTAGAGCTGACAAAGGAGCAGAATTTTAATTCCTCTCCAGTAACAGCAACACGTCCTCTGTGTAGATAAGCCCTTTGCCACACAGAAGCCCCTGTGTCATTCTTCTTTAGAGGACGGCGACTACCTGATTTCTAAGGCTGTTCTCCCCTGTTCTTCAACATTTGGTTTTTCTTTCTAGCCATGGGATTTACTTGTCATAGACATAAGATGTTCTGATACTCAATTTTTTGTGTCCCAAAAATGTAGATAGCATCAGAGAAAGGGCATAGTCACGCCGTTAGTAGCGTAAGTAGCTTCCCACAAACACAGTCCTTTTCTGGCTCCTGCAGGCATGACCTGATTAAAAATGAAAGTATCCAAGCCCTGGGCACCCAGGCCACCGAGCCAAGAGGGGAGTGACAGGGAGCCTCTGCCTCAGGCCAAACCCACACAGGGCTCTGTTTCCTACAGTAGAGACTTTCCAGAGAGGGTTGAGCAGCCATGTGAGGTGCTCCCCAGTGAGTCCCAGGTCAGTCCTTCCAACTGCACAACCAGGTTGTTTAAGATTCTGCTTCTGTCAACACTGAGGTCCACAGAGTCCCCCCTGAAGGCTGTGAGCACCAATCATGAATCTGCCTCCTTCCTGGCCACCTGTTGTGTTTGTCCATGTTCCAAATGGAGCTACTCACCATTAACAACTAACCCTGTTTCTCACACTATTTGTAAACCTTAAGCTTTCCGGAAAAATCAGCCCTGGGAGAGTATCCCCTCCCAAGCAGGCCTGGGAGGCTGAGAGGTTACCTAGAGTGCATCCTCGAAGTGTCCCCCCACCCCGCTGCCCCCCACCTGGCTCCCTTACTTACTATTTCTGGAGCCGCCATCATTTGGGGCAGCAATAATTTCCTTTTTCATTATAAAAGTGAGCAGGAGGGGAAGCAGCTGGCAAAAGGGAGTCCGGGAGGAAACTATTTCCACCGAGTCACTCAGCCTTGTCGACTCCGTCACTGAGGCCAGCGGCATCACTGTGGCGCCTCTGTAACTCAATCTGGATGTGGTTATCAGGTGGCCCCGGTGGCATGGCCGCGGAGATGAGGAGAACAGCTTGCAAATGAGCAGCGTCAGAATGACAGGAGTGTCACAGAAGAATGGAGGGCCCAAGGACACTCCTTTTGGTAAGATGACCGAAGGGGCCACACCCAGTGCCAAGCAGACAGCCCCACAGAAGGGCAGATCGGCACTTTGCCAGGCAGTGCCAACCACCCAGGTGACTGAGCCTTGGCCTTAGTCCTACAGCTGTTCTGAGGACAGAAGACAGAGACTAAACGATTTGCCTGAAAATTTCTTGATGTCATTGTTTTTAACAGCTGAGTAATACTCCATTGTGTAAAGGTACCACAATTCCTTTATCCATTTCTCGGTTGAGGACATCTAGGTTGTTTCTAGTTTCTGGCTATTATGAATAAAGCTGCTATGAACATTCAACTTGATATGACTTGTTTGGTTTATCTCCATGGGAAGCCTGTCCCACTCTGAATATAAATGGAGGAGGGATGGATGGGGGGGAGAGGAGAGGAGAAGAAAGGAGAGGAGGGGGGGAACAGTGGTTGGGCTATAAAATAAATAAATACTGTCAGGCAGTGGTGGCGCATGGAGGCAGAGGCAGGTGGATCTCTGTGAGTTCCAGGCCAGTCTGTACTACAAAGTGAGGTCCAAGGCAGCCAGAGCTATTACACAGAAAAACCTTGTCTTGAAAAACCATTAAAAAAAAAGACAGACTAAAGTCCACCATGCCATAGGTCCTTTCTTACCTCTGACTACTCTCCCAGTCCCAAGATGAACATTTCCTGAGATGGTGATAGCTCACTTGGCTCTTTCTTTACTTTCTCCTAATTGGAGCATCTTAGCCCGTCATCTAGAATGTTCTGTCATGACCCCCACAGTGACCAGGGCCCTGAAGGGCTGAGTGTGAACCTAAGTGGATGGGCAGAACTGAACAGACACAGATAACCAACAGGGGCAAGCCGGAGGGCAGGTGCGTCTCCCAGGCCTTCAGCACCACTTGTACAGGAGCGAGTTCTCTTCAGCAAGTGCTGGAGAAGAGCCACACATCAGGTTTCCTTCCTCTGTCCGACCTGAGAGACTGCTTTTTTTATTTTCTTATTTTTTGGTTTTTTGAGACAGGGTTTCTCTGTATTGTTTTGGAGGCTGTCCTGGAACTCGCTCTGTAGACCAGGCTGGCCTCGAACTCACAGAGATCCACCTGCCTCTGCCTCCCGAGTGCTGGGATTAAAGGCGTGCGCCACTGATGCCCGGTGAAAGACTGCTTTTTAAGGTGTGAGGAAAGGAGTAAGACAGCTGGAGGGTTTCCTGGTTGGCCGTATGGGCTCCCTCCTCCCTCTCCCCCCTCTCCTTCCTTCCTTCCTTCTTTCCCACCTTCCTTCCATCCTTCCATCCTTCTTTTCCTTCATCCCTCCCTCCCTCCTTTGCCTGTTCTTGTTTGATGGCTTCCTTTTGCTTTCCAAGTCAAGGTCTCATTGTGTAGCCCAGGCTGGCCTCAAACTCACCATTCTGCTGCCCCAGCCTCAAATTCTAGGATTACAAGTTCATGTTTTTAATATATTATATATATAAACCTAATTGCTCAAACTTATTATTATTTGAATGAGAAAAAATCATATTTGAGGTGAGCTATTTATCAGACCCCATATTCTCTTTTTGATTCTCTGAGTTATGTGGAATGAAGCACCTTTGCACACACCACGCAAAGCCTTGCCTGTGTTGAAGATTTTCTAGAACTCTGTGTGTGTGTGTGTGTGTGTGTGTGTGTGTGTGTGTGTGTGTGTGTGTTGGAATGTTGCAGGTCAAGAACCAAATTATCTTGGGCTGTCTTTAATTCCTTCATGACCATTCATCACGCACCTCTTTGTCGAACCTAACATCCTTTCAACTAACAAGGAAAGCCCTTGGGATGTATTAATTTAGCAGACCATTGGCTTCCACCAGCCCTGAAGCTAAGAATGCTCTCAGATAGCATCTGAGACTTATGGGAACGATGTCTCCACTTTCTCACATCTCATCTATTTGGTGTCCCTGGCGATACGTTCGAGAATGCCTTCATTTCAGACTGCCTTTTGTTCTGTGACTGCTAAAGTTCGTGTACGCATTTCAGACTGCCTTTTGTTCTGTGACTGCTAAAGTTCGTGTACGGTTTCCAGAGTGAAGCGTTGTCATTCGGGGCAACTCGAACCCATGTGACTCCCAGATGGATCGCAATGAACTATCTCTTAATTCCCTTTGGAGCCAGAGACGAGTTCTGCCTTGATGGTAGCAAGCTCTGTCTATTTCTAACACTCACATTCAAGATAAATAAATTGATTGGGGAATTCCTCCTGAATCCCTCAGGGGAAAGGGAAATAGGCCAGGCAGAGAAAGAGGCGTGGATGAGCTTCTGGTGTGGAAAATGTAAAGGAAAGGATGTTGCAGAGGACAAAATGGTGGTTTGGGAGGTCGGGGCGGAGTGAGGAGAAGTGGGGAGATGTGAATCAAGGGGTGCGGACTTAGACATGTAGCGTGAGCACGTCCAGAGTCAGGAGTGACCTCATAGACACAGCGCTGCACTGAGTGCTGGGAAGTCTGGAAAGCCCATTTCAAAGGGCACTTGTTGCTCCTGCAGAGGACAGAGTTCAGCTCCCAGCACCCATGCTGGAAGGAGCGATCACAACTGCCTGTAACTCCAGCTCCAAGGGGTCCCCAACACCTCCTCGCACCCCCACACATGTGTGTGCACATACATACAAATAGATCTTTTTAATTCATTTATGTTTTTATGTATGAGGGCTCTGCATGTACCCCTCCATGCCAGAAGAGGGCACCAGATCTTATTACAGATGGCTGTGAGCCACCATGCGGTTGCTGGGAATTGAACTCCACATCTCTGGAAGAGCTCTTAACTGCTGAGTCGTCTCTCCAGCCCCCAAACAAAAATTTTTAATTAAAAACAAAGAATGCAACTTTTTGAGAAGTGAGAGAGAGAGAGAGAGAGAGAGAGAGAGAGAGAGAGAGAGAGAGAGATTTCTGATTAAATTAAAGCTTAGAGATTCTAGAAGAAATAGAATGAACTCATATTTTTAAGTGAAACACTGAGCTCTCTCCTGTACAGTAGGGAGTGACGTAGAGGTGTTATCACAGATATGCAGTGTCTTATTTTTGGTTTAACATAGTACAATGTTAGGTAGAGAAACAGAGAAAAGAAGAAGGTTGGAAGGGGAAAAGGATAAACAAGATGGGAAAAAAAAGGACACATAAAAAGAAAAGTTGTAAGAACCAGTGAGCAATAGGGACATGAAGCTGAGCATGGCCGCTTTTAATCCCAGTGCTCAGGAAGCAGAGACAGGAGGATCTCTGTGAGCTCAAGGCCAGCCTGGTCTACAGAGGGAGTTCCAGGCTAGCCAGGGCTACTTGGTGAAACCATATCTCAAGATAAGAATAACATTTTTAAAAATAATAAAATAAAATGTCATCATCACTCACAGACAATATCCAGAATCTAAAGATAAATTATTATAATCAATAAATAAACCCAGCAGGACTTTTGGATATAAAGCCAGTAGGAAACAGTACAAATGTGGTGGTAACTTACCAACAACAACAACAAAAAAGCATGATCATGGATAGATCAAAAATATATAATTTATAGGGGCACCAAGGATTGCCCATTGCCCAAGGATAGTGCGATACATACTGCATGACTTCTACCCACAAACCCCTGCAGCAGAAGTGAAAAGAAACACAGACCAGCAAGCCTGTGTCGGGAAAGGTAAAAAGGATAAATTCCTTGGGAAACATTTTAACCAAACAGATTATATAAATTAACTTTACACATTAAAACTTGCCAACAAAGGAACTTTTAGATCCAGGATATTCCCCTTACAAGTCCATACAAATTTGGGAGGTAGATGCAGAAGGACCAGGAGTCCAAAGTCATATTTAACTGCATAACGAAAGCCTGTATCAAATATACATCCGTATGGGTTATATAGATACATAATTTATAATAGCATCAAAAACATAAATGAGGGGGCCAGTGATGGCTTGGTGGGTAAAGTACTTGTCAATCAACCCTGATTACCTGAGTTTGATCTCTAGAATCTACACAAAGATGGAGAGGGAGAAGCAACTCTACCACGTTGTCCCCTGGTCTTCACACATAGCCATGGCACCCATGCACCCACAGGAAGACAAGACACACAAAAAAAAATCATAAGTAAAACCCACAGGAAGACAAGACACACACACACACAAATCATAAATAAAATATTTTTAACTATGAAAGGAAACTGAAAATGACAAAACACGGCTGGGAGAAATTAAATGGAGAGATAAACCATGTTCATGGAATGGAAGACATAATATTATTAAAATGCCAATTCTCTCTATGATCTGCAGATTCAGTCTAACCTCACAGATTGTTTCTGGCAAAAAAAAATGAATTTGGCTTTTGTTGTCTTTAGAATTCCTTTCATTTCTTTTTTATTTCTTAAAATCAGTTTTATTGAAATGTGCCCATGCTAAACACTCAGGTTGGTAGTCTTGAAAAAAACATCACTTGTATCAACACCACTCAGTCAGGTCCCTCAGCCCCTAACTCACTCCCCACCCTACCTCAGGCAACCACTGATCTGCTCTCTGAAACTCTAGCTCAATCTCATCTTGTCTAAAATGGCATCTAAATAAATCAGTACAGCAAGTGTGATGGCACCTGGTGCCTGGCATCAGCTCGATGAGCTCATCTGTTCATTGGTAATGCAGGAAGCATGGCTGTGGTGCTTCCTGTTTAAGAGCACCGCTCCCTGAGCTCGCAACTTGGCGTGTCTGCTCACAATCGGATCTCACTTGGACTATGTGGATCGTTTTTGGTAAGGGACTATGATGAAGAAAGCCACCGTGGATGTTTAAAGATGGATTTTTGTGGGGGCACAGATTTTCACTTTTCCCTGGTGAAATCTAAGATCAGATTGGGTCACAGAGTCAATCGGTGTTGGTTGACCTTTATGAGACACTGTGTCAACATGCTTTCCAAAGTAGTTGGACAAATTACAGTCTCAGTAAAAAAGGTGGGTGTTTCAAGAGTTCCCTCGCCTGGT